GGGGGAACCCGGTGCGGCGCTTATGATGAAGCGGGTAGGCTCTGTGCACACTCTTCTCTAACGTGACAGGGACAACCCTAAGTAGCCATGTACGAGCCTCCGTGCCTGCAGGGAAAAAATTGTGTATTTCAAACAGTTCCCCCGGAAGACCCATACACGCCTTTCTCTGGCATTATGGGATTGAAGATAATGGTTGTTGTGTCGACCGACACCTACCGTACACGCTTTTCTCTAGCGTGGCAGGAAGGCCCAGCTCTCAAATTTCCCCTAAACGGGGGAGACGTTGGGAGACTGCCAGATTTCTTAGTGAACAGGGGAGTTAAATGAACAATAGGGGACCTAGACTTGAGCAAAATAACAGGGGACCTGAACTTGAATGAACCATAGGGAATTGAACATGCAATTACATGGAATAGAAATGAATGCCTAAGACCAAAACCTATAATTCACAAAATAACAAAAAATAAACATACATGCATGAGTCTTATAGTGAACGGAACTCTGAATATTAATCAAGGATGATGCACAATCTAATTCCAAGCAAAAGTAAACAAACGCTGCGAATCAAATGAGGATAATGGCAATTAATTATAATATTTGTATCAACCAAGAAAGCAAACATATCACTGTTCTGCAAATGAAGGAGTTTGATGCACACAAAATAGTGTGCTTGTGAGCGACTGCAAGAAGCTTGTGAGTGATTATGATGGCGGCGTGACAGAAAATCTAAATCAGAGGGGATCTCAAATGGTTGAAAATACCTCTCAAATGCCCGTGAAAATCCAAACTTCCAAAAATAAAAGAACCTAATATATTTCAAATTGAAATAAAACACCAAAATACTTAACGAAAATTACCCATCCACCCTCCACAATAATTTGTCGAGGTGGACAAATTTGAAAATCACTTCCACTTGTTAAGAACAAATGTCTGATCGAGAATATTATTATGATTCATTTTTAAATTGTCTCTTACTAGTAAGGACGTGGCATGTGCCTTCTAACCGGTGATTTCGCTGTCAAATAGCACCATAGATAAACGGTTATGATTGGGAACCCTCTCACCTAGTGATTTTGCCATCAAATGATACCATTAAATTACGGTTATTGTCAGAGCTCGTATATTCCCCAACGGCTTCAAATTATTAGTAATGAATTAATAGGATATGACCGATATGGCACAAAGCCATCTGTTAACTAAGGTGGAATCAAATTTGTCCCCTAAAACAAATATTCATCAAGGATCAGCCTTAAACCCATTTCTTTTTGCTTTAGTCATGGATGTTCTCACTAGACATTTACAAGTAAGGGTGCCAAAATGGGTCAACGGGTCGGGTACGGGTCCAACCCAATTTGACCCGGGTATAAACAAGTTGGCTCTAACTCGACCCGGATTTGCAAACAACTCAAGAATGTCAACCCGGACTAGACCCATCAGGTTATCGTTAATGTTGAGCCAACCTCACCTGTGAACTCGGATGTTGTTGGGTCGCTGACTCGTTGTTGTAGTGTGGTGAGGGATCAGACTGCAGACGTGAGGTGAGCGGGCGGTGCCCCTGTGTGGTTATGCCAAGCGACGAGCGTGGTTGCTGAGCGGGCACCCGAGCCAACCCGTGAACCTAAACGCCGACGCGCTGTAGGCTCATACACGGTGCGCATATGCCGTCATGCCAACTGTCGACCTACCGCCTATGGACCTAGCACGATGCGCCTGTGTCGTTGAGATGACTTCCAACCTACGGACCTAGCGCGATGCTTTTTGATGATGATATTCTTCTTGTTGATAAGACTAGAGAGTGAGTTGAAGGTAAATTTGAATTATGGAGATCAACCTTAGAGTTTAAATATTTTCGTTTGAGTGTATCTAAAACTAAATATATGGAGTGTAATTTTAGTAATAATAGTTATAGTGGGGGATTGTAATTTTGGGTGATCAAGCCATTAATAAGATTACACGTTTTAAATATCTTGGGTCTATTGTTCAGAGTGATGGTGAAATAGATGGGGATATTATTAGTAGAATTCAAGTTGGATGGTTGAAGTGGAGGAATGCATCGGTCTTGTTGTGTGATTGAAAAAGTCCCCCTCAAACTTAAGGGGAAATTCTATAAGACGGTGGTTAGACCTACAATGCTTTATGGTGCAGAATGTTGGCCATTAAAAGAGAAGAAAAATATTAAGTTAAGTGTTGCAGAGATGAGGATGCTCAAGTGGATGAGTGGCTTTACTCTTAGAGACAAGATACAAAATGAGCAAATATGTGAAAATGTTGGAATAGCTCTAGTGAAAGATAAGATTAGAGAGAGTTGCCTCAGATGGTTTGGTCACATAAAACAACGGTCTTCCGATGACCCAGTTAGAAAAGTAGATGTGTATTATTAGATTTGACTTATGTTAAGAAAGGTAAAAGTAGATCTAAAAAGACTTTGTTAGAAAATATTAGAAATGACCTTTTATTAGATTTAAATGGGAATTTAACTTTTAACATAGCACAATGGAGAAAAAAGATTCATGTAGCCGACCCCACACATGCCGACCCCACATAGTGGGATAAAGGCTTGATATTGTTGTTGTTATTGTTGTTGACGATAAATATTCACCCTAGATCTACAAGGTACCCATGAACGAAGCAACCCATAGTTGCCGACAAGGATCTTTATGTCAGAATGGGTCGACTACCTCCTCTGACTAAGTAGACCAGGGATCATAATGACCCGAGATGACGGAACCATGGAATATTGATCGAGTTCATCATCATCATTTCCCCCACCATCCGCTTTAAGTAAAAGGCTGTGAATTTTTAATTTTAAATATCAAATTCTTAAATACCGAATCATATTGCTACTATACGCCAGATAATACTTATTTGTTTGATGACTAGCCTTAATCGAAAGTTCTCTCTCTTTATTGAGAGGGGTAATTAACTATAGGGGTTTGCGCCTATAAGAAACATGAACTCATATCATAAAGCCCTCGCAAAATGAGGGTGAAATCTCAGGATAGTGTCTTATTTAAAACTCAATATTTCTTTTGAAATTTTTCCTTGAAACATACTCATTAAAACTCCCGTGACAACATGAAAGAAAGGAGACTAGGGCGCAAATTTTTGAAGCCCACAATTTTTTCTAGGGATTTTGTACATAAATAACACCTAAAACTATTGAAAATATATATTTAACACCTAAACTTCTATATTTACTAATATACCACCTAAAATCCCTCTTTTAATCAATTATAACATTCCATTTAAACCTTTCGCCAAAAATCAATACCTAAGATTGTCTTCCTCGTCAATGACATCCTTTCAAAGTGAATACAAGTATCTCAACGCTTCAATGGAGTGGTACAATAGAAGAAAAATGAGATTTCATGTGGTATATTAATAAATATAGAAGTTTAAATGTTAAATATGTATTTTCAAAAATTTTAGATGTTATGCATTTAAAAAACCCTTTTTTATAATGTCTCATGTCAATGTCACATTGTGTTAGTATTTTGATGTATGTTTTGATGCATCATTAGCACAATTCTATAAAAAAAAAAAAATCATTACCACAATTCTTATACCAAAGATGTTTAATAATGATTTCAATAAAAGATGAAAATATATAACCCAGCATATGCTGCTGTTTGGCTTCAAGTAGGATTTAGGAAATCCTGTAAATCTAGACTTAATAAACCCAATATAGTTTAAATCTTAAAAATGATTTGGCTACTTATTTTAAGATTTAAGAATTTCTATGATTAGCATGTCTTCTTGTAATTATTCTATCTATTTCAATCTTAATTAGACTAATTAAAAATTAATTTGTATAATTAAACATTTCAATTAATTACCAATTAGTAATTTGATAAGCTAATAAAACAATAACTTCCATTTTGAAAAATTAAACAAAAAATAATAACAATTTGCTACAGTTTAAATACTTTTTAATTAATTAATACTAACTATTAATGTGATTTATTTTTTTTAATTAATACATATACACCTAATTGGCTTGTCAGAATATTAATACTTTTAATTAACAATTTTTGTCAATTCTAATTATGTTGATTAAATAATAACTGGGAAAGTTAATATCTAAATTAACCATTACTTAATAACTTATAAAACTAATTAAATATGATAACTTCTACCCAATCAAATAAAATCACAAATAATGTTAATTTACCTAAATTAAAATCTTTTTAGTTAATTATTACTTAATAATATTAATAATTTCAAAACTTATCAAAATTACCAAAATAAAATAATATTGTGGATAGAGATATGAAAAAAACTCATTTGTGTTCAATCATGTTAGGCTAAAATTCGCTTGTAGTGACCAATTTTTATAAGCTCATTTATTTAACGAGCTAAACATAAATACGAGGTATTAGAACAAAGAAGTATAACTTTTTTTCTTCCAGGATTGGCAAAAATACAGAGGTATAGCAAAAGTTGTTTTGAAGAAGTTGCATAAACAAACGGTAAAATAATAATTTTTTCACCGATTGAAATCGGAAACGGATAACTTGCGGCCAACCAAACGAGGCCTATGAGACTTAAGGATTTAAGTTAAATTGCCCAATGTCCAGATTTACTAAATCCTAGATTTAAGGTAAAACGGACTGAAATGGGATTTAAAATTAAGTAGGATTAGACACCCTATTTGCTCTTTGGAGGAAGATTTAAGTTTAAATCCTGCTACCAAACAACCCCCAAGGAAGAAGAGCGGCAAAACCTACTTATCTTCATATCAATCCAATAGTAACAATAACTACTTAAATTACTTAATCTACCCACTAATGCAGTTCACTAAAAAATTAAGGCAGTGACATGGAATTTGAACTGTAATATGATAATAAACTCACATGTATGCATGAATTCATTTGTAAAGGCAAACTTGTAGCAAAATAACTAACTTTGGTTTGGATAAGGTTTTTAAAACGAGTGAATATACTGACCAAAAAAATAAATACGTGTAAAAAATATTAAAAAACAAATTGCTCTTACCTTGTTCAAAAGGGCAACGTGCAGGATCTTCGCCAAAATATATGGCAAGTGCATCAGCATTCCTACCCTGTCAGAGCATTTGGTAAGTAGGTGACGGGGTTTAACTTACACTAGCAGGTGACAGACAGATAACATACCACTGCACTGTATAGTGAAGCTAAAGATCGCACTTCAGCATCAGCAACAGCAATGAATCCCGTCAATGTCTAAAACACAAGTTTAAAAGCTCGCTTATAAAAAATTAACTAAATGCGATAAATAATAAAAATATTCATATACGAAATATTATTCAAACCATAAAATAAAGGACCAAGAAAAGGACAGCTCAATATATTCAATAATCTTAATCATATTTACATAAAACATATTAAATAATAAATTAACCCTCATTGAGTAGGACAAGGACATCTATGAGCAGTGAATAACGTACCAAGCCCAGAAGCCAGGTTTCTTTTATTAGAAATTTACTAATTAGCTATTATAAGGAAACCTAAATACCCTCATTAACGACTAAAAGCATCCTATGCAACAAATAGAAGTTCTCAAACTAGCCCAGCTATTTAAAGTTACTTCATCTTACAAAATTACCCTTGTAAAACCAAACCGGTCCATCCCAATTGTGGAACCTGGTTGAGCGTCAATGGCCTTGCAACTGCCATCGCACCGTATGACTGAGAGGACCAGACCAATGCTCTTACCAAGGAAAGGACAATTGTGTGCACTCGTTACTATGAAATGTGATTTAGAAGCTCCTAACTTCTCTAAGCCGTTGACTTTGGTATGCCGTTTAAAGAGTGCTCACCTCTAAACACTCCTTTAGGGATGAAGTTTTATCCATATAAACGTGGTGAAACATTTTGTCGGTCAAAGTAGTTCAAGAAGCAACAAACTTTCTCATAATTATTCACTGATCTTTGTGTGGAAATTTGCCAGCATCAACACATGTGACATTATCTCAGTCGAAATGAAAGAACCCAAAAGCTCACTTTGAAAACGCCAAAGAAAACAGTTGGACTAGCTTTGGGAGAAATAAAACTTGCAATACACAAACGTAATATATTTAAAAAATAAAACAAAGACAAGGATAAAAGCACTGAGATTTGAGCTTAGATCATAATACAAAGGTCCCCATGGACGAAAGCGCATAACGCATAGCACAACGGGCACTATTTTAAATGTGGTGCAAAATCAGATATTATTTAGAGTTATCTAGTAGAGTAATAGATGCAACTAATAATAAAATGTATACACTAGAAAATTTTGAACTAAATACATTTTACAAGAGTAAATTTTTTGCTAAGCAGCAAATTTTGAAGTACAACGTATAAATAGAAAATTCAATGTCAAAGGCAACAAGCCAACAATGGATACTTTTGCTCAACTTTGTCGAGCCATTCTCCTTTGTCATTTTATGAGAGCAAGAGTGTGCAGTATACAACGTTGAAGTAGAAAGAGAAGCTTCAACATTCTTTGGGTTGCAATGCTTGCGTGCAAGACTAACGATGTGTGGGATGCAGCATGAGAGGCACGTGCAACATTGTAACAGAGAACGATGACTGAGAATTGCGAGGTAGACAAGAAGAAAAATGCTTGCATAAAAGGACCGTGCCCTAGAGTCGAGCAATGCAAGAGAGGAAGCTGAACATGAAACGATGCTTATGGGATCGGATAGGACTTAATAGAAACTAAAAATTAAATAATAAATAATATAAGTATTAATTTAAATCATCTAAATTAAAATAATGATCGTTATGAGAACCATACACCATGTATTATTTCCCACGCATAACAAAAATAACACATGTTATTTTAACCCCAACCTTAAGCCATGAAAATTGCCCACATTGAGTGTCGTGACATGCACCATAGCAAGCAATATTTTGCACTATTGAAATGTATGATAAAATCCAATAACTACTATAGCGTACAAATTTGAGACTAGAGACAAAATATATCAAATCCTGTTCTCACAAAACTAGCAAACTTCAAGGTTTAGGATTTAGGGTTTAGGGAGAGCAAATATTGAAAAGAAAAGAAATTATTTCCTTGCAAAATCTCCAAGAAATAAGAATGAAAACAAATATCAACATATTTGCTCAATCTCTCTTTCCTCAGTTTATAGTAGAAGCCAATCGCAAGAAAAAAATAAATCCTTATTGCTCTTTTAATATGTGATTGCTACTCTCTTTTTGTTTTGGTTGCTACTCTCTTTTTGTTTTGATTAACAGAATCCAAACCGCTATTTTAATAATAAAAAAAAATTCTCAATGGTCAAATACTCTTAAGATGTGATTAACTATAGGAGTTTTGACATTATGAGGAGCATTTACCTAAGAATAAAATAAGCTCAACTCAATCAAATATATTATATAGTGGAAAGTCCGTGGAAACATGAAAAGTTCAAAACAAACTTTTGTTATTGAGTCCATAGGAAAATAATATCTGTTATTTTACATGGTAACATATTATTTTTTATGCCTAATACTTTCAAACATGTTAGACAAAAATTCCCCATCATGCTCCTGAATAGATTTTTCACCATATCACAAAGAGAATATGTCAAAGTAGAAATATATACCCAAATGATATTGTTATTCTAAAAGAATATAGGCATCCCTTGGCAATCTCTTGAAACATGATAGTATATGCAATCATGGGTACAACACTATTATGCATACATGTGAGAACAACATAGTTGGAAGGTTATAATTTAACGTATTTGGCGATGTCAGTCCATTCAAGAGGCAGAGTCAAAATTAGTGCATTTCACAATAGATTTCACGAGGAAATAGAAACCTCTAAAGATAATTTTTTTTCATTAAATTTGATCGATGTAGAAATTGTGGACAAAACTACATCATGGACAAAGGAGTGGAGAAGGCCAAGAACAAACAAAATCAAGAACAAATATAAGAAAATGATCTAGCAAATGAGGCTGATCTAAGATGATAGATATGGTAAAGAAGGCAAGGAAATAGGTGCGGCTAAGGTTGCGACAAGAACTTATAGGCATGACCATGACAATGTACATGGGTGCAAGCGAGTGAGGTCACGAGCATGCAAGCTTGGGAATGCAGACGTAGGCAAGCACATGCAATCATACAAATACAAGCATGAGCAAGCAAGGGAGGAGAGGCAATGGGAGGGTATTGGGAGGGTTTCTAAGAAGTAGGATTCGAGTACGGAGAAAGGAGAGAGCGAGATGAGGGTAGCAGCTAAGTTTAGGACTAACCTGCTCTAATAATAAGACGTTGGAGAGGGAAGATCTTTCACTTTTTATTGATGTAGTAGTTCGGTGGAAGAACTGGATCTACTAGAAGGAACACCCAATGCAGGGAACAAACACAAACTCTAAGGCTTCAAATCATATAATATTCTTTATATGCCCCTTCTCCCTTATAACAACTATATTTAACTTTGTAATAGAAGATTCTAGAAACTAAAAAAACATGTAATAGAAAGGTATGCTAGTCCTTAAGCTAACTATAAGTATGATGTTCCTAAATCATAGTCCCCTTGTGTCAGAAAAGCTCGACTCTGACGAGGCGCATCATCGATAGGGAGATAGGTGTAAAAATCATGAGCAACCTCCTAGATCGAAGATTTTGTCTTCTATGTTGATCAACAAGCTCATTCATTAACCGCCTGAAGGATGGATGACTTTTTCATACCATGGATGACATAACTTTCCACTTGTATAAACTTTGAGGAATCATAAAGGGAGTAGCTGCAATGACAATAACTCTAACTCTCTGGTCAAGACCATCCATTTCCACCAGCAGTTGGCTTAGAAAACTGTCAGCAACAGTCATACCATCATTTTCTGCTCCACGAGTTACTGCTAGGCTAACTATTTTATCAAAGAATATAATTGGAGTGTTCGCATTTGCTTTTTTTTAAAATTGATATCACAGCCTTCTCAGATTCCCCCACCCATTTGTTAAAAAGTTCAGGCTTCTTGACTGCAAGGAAGTTCAACTTTGCTTCCGAAGCTACTGTTCGGATCATCATGGTCTTGCTATAGCCAGGAGGACCAATCATTAATAATCCCCTAGGAGGTTGAACACCAATACGTTTGAAAGCATCTGTATGTATTTGTGGCCATTGAATTGCTTCAATCAACTGTCTTTTTACTTCTCTTTGGCAACCAACGTCCTCCCAACTTTAGGAAGTTCAAGCATTACCTCCTGCATAGCACTAGGCTTAACTTTCATCTTTGCGACTTCAAAATCTTGAGCATTTATCTTTAACATAATATTTTGTTTCTCTCCATTAGAACCACGTGAACAGCATTGTCTATTACTTCCAGTTAAATTTAGAGAATTATCCTGCCAAACTGGCATTTGTGACACAGTCAATTCTGATGATAAAAATTCAAATCATCATGATATGGTGCCTTCCCAATTTCCTGGATATTAGGAGCTTGATTATCCTTATCAATCACACCGGTTTTGTAATGTGAGCATTTTAAAAAAGTTTCTCAAAGCTAATAAGGCGACGAAGAGTAGTCATTGTAGCTTCATTGCATAGGGTAGCTAAATCAGTACTAACAAACCCATGTGTTTCAAAAACCAATGACTCAACCTCACTCTTACGTAATGAATGATCCATGTGGTTAAGAAGAGTATACGATATATCAAACCGCTGAACTGGAAACGACACTCTTACTTTGATTTCTCAATCTAATCTACTAGGTCGTCTCATGGCAGGATCAATACTGTCAGATCAATTTGTAGCAGCAATTACAAGAATTCCATCAGATCTTTTAATATTATCCATCAGTTTTAGCAGAGTTGCAACCCTTCTAATGTTAATCACACCCAAATCAGCAGCAGAAAGGGAGAGTCGGTGCTTGTCAGCTTTACCGAAGGAATCTGCGAAAGCCGGAGAGAAGTGGAATCAGAATCTCTTCTTCTTCCTGCTGCATACCCGAGCAGATCTAACCCTTGCATGCGTCCAAGCATGAGCTCTTGTGCGACCTAGGCTAATTGAACGTCTCTTCAGAGTGTGAGCTCTTGTGCGACCCCTACTTCTGTGTTTCCTCTTCATTCTTCTACTGAAGCTAAGTTTTAAAAGAATCTTCTTCAAAGGTTCCATATTCAGATTGCGTATGGGGACTCATCTAGGGCCGACTTTGGCTCTTTGAGATCAAATCAAGAGGCTCAGTTGTTGGAGGGGAGGGAAATGTCGACAATGTATGGTGGTAGAGGCAAGCTTATGGATCGCAAGCGGGGTGCCAGCCGCGGGATTGCGCTTTGCATGTTGGAACGGAGGTGAGTCACAAACGGCTAAGGGTTGATTACAGACTGAATGGTTGGGTATAGAATCACGGGAGCAAACTGGGAGTGGGAGCGGAGTGTGGGATGGGGCATGCGTGGTTGTGGAAGCTGTCTGATTGGAACGTGTGGGCGTGATTGCAAGTCGGTGATCGGGCGAGGGATCACGCCATCGGAGTGGAAGTTGGAGTCGAAGCGGAGGGGGTGGAATCATCCTAGAGTGGGGCCGATCACGCAGAGAGGAGCGAATGCACCAATACGGTTGCCAATGTTCTTCGTATTGTCTCAGGGAACAACCGATATTAGATAATAAATCATCTATTCGATCAATTGAGGCATCCACTTGAGTTGCCCAAAGAACGTTGTGGCGTAGATCGTCATCTACCGTCCATCTTCTTCAGTGTCGATCGTCCTCGACCACCCATCTTATTCAACATCGATCTTTATCAACCGCCCATTTTCTTCAGCTTAGGTCGTCGACAGTCCGTCTTCTTCAGCAGTCCGTCATTCTTCACAAGTTTCATGTTCTGATACCAACTGATGTAGTGGATCGGCAAAAAAACTAGATATGCTAGAAGGAACACACAATTCGAGGAACAAACACAAACTCTAAGGCTTCAAATAATATAATATTCTCTATATGCCCCTTCTCCCTTACAACTATATTTAACTTTGTAATGGAAGATTCTAGAAACTAAAAGAAAACATGTAATAGAAAGGTATGCTAGTCCTCAAGATAATTATAAGTATGATGTTTCCTACATCATTTCTTATTCATTAGGCGTCCCATCTATTACAAATAAAGGATAGAGTGTAATGTTCTAAGAAATAATCAAATATGTATACATAACTCACTAAATATAAAATAATATCCTAACTTTTTTTTTTCTACATACCAGAGTCATCATTAAGGAAATAGAGCAAGATCCACAAGTGTACCTTCCGAAAAACTGCTGATACTGGGCCATCACTTTCAGAAGCAGTCAACTCCAACTCGACCTTCTCCAGGCCTTTCACAATAGCTTGCATTTCTTCAGCCAAGGATTTTAATTGTATCTGTAATTAACAAGATCTTAAGCAAGTTCAAAAAAACTCTAAACATAGTAAAATTTAAATTTGACTTCAGCAATTCATACCTTTGAAGCAGATTCTAAGCTGGTAAGATCCTCATGAAAGTCAAGAAGATAAGATGATCTTGAAGCAATAACCTGACATTCAACCACAAGATAAATTACATATAATGGTATTAAATCGGACAAAGAAGTAGGAAATGCTCCAATAATCTGATAAATGGTTTCTCCCAACCAGACAACAATAGATTTTGTTAATGGAAACACCTTACAATGGCCACCACAGGCTGAAAATCAAGAAATTTTGAAAAAAATTTGGCAAAACATCAAGCATGTGTGAAAAAAAAAAAAATTTGTGCAAACGATCAGACCAAAAACCCTAGTGATGAAATATTTTGGAAGTGTCTCATTAAAATTTAAAAAAAAAAAATTATGATTTGTGAAATAAGGACTGACGTTTTGTATGATAATGCCTTTAATTAATTAAAATTTTAAACAATCTTGATTGATGACCAACTGATCATGAAATGCAGTCAACTTCATACTCAAAATCATAGCGCCGCAATGCCACAATTCAAAATTTTATTATTTTTCAAATAAATCCATCTAAGAACTTGGTACAATCTCCTCACCTTACAAAAATGTCGTCCCCGACATTTCTACTGAGGATCTAGGATACAAAATCAATATAAAACAATTTCGTTCCAAACATTAAAATAATACAACAAAAATTCAAATTCAATTCAAAATCATATTGAAATCAAATTGAAAAACCAGTCGAATCAAAGATCAAAGCTCTATCATACAGACATGTAAACCATTCAATCACACATCATTCACTTATGCAATGAAATATGATGTCATTCATAAAAAAATTTCTTACCAATAGAACTTTCAGGCTTGTTCTTATCTCCTGTAGCTGCAAATTATACACCCTGGGCATTATCGACTCTCTTTGACGGCCACTGACACCTCTACACCGGTGTTGTTCATCGCTCAATCATCAATCATGTTTGTTGATCTTACATTATATGCCCTCACTCCTACAATCCTCAGTCCTTCAATCTGTCTAGATTGTCCTACTCTGGAATATTTTCTTCCTCCAATTCCTTTCTGAGGGCAATCTGCTATCTTATGCCAATATGCCCTTGGGGTCCACACCTAAAACATCGCCCTGAAATCAGGTAACACCACCTTAGATGTTTCCTTTCACAATGAGGTCATTCACTATAGTTGTTGACAAATGATCTCGATCATCTCTTGACATCCCTGAATATGCTCCTCGTAGTATCACTGACACTTTCCCTGTTATACTCTCCCTCTCGCATCCTCTTCCTGCTCATATCCCTCCTAAACTCAGACTTTGTCAAATTAATCTCTATCAATTTTGCTCTTTCAACCAATTCTAAAAATTCTTTCACCTTAAGTGGCATCAATGGATGTCTCAACTCTTCTTTCGATCCGCTCATAAATCTATAACATTTTTCTTCAACCATTGGAATCAAATGAAAAGCGTACCTTGCCAATGCAGTGAACTCAGCATCATATTACCTGACTGTCGTGTTCCTCAGCTATAATCTTATAAATGCTTCTTGCATCTACTGGTGAGCTGAAGAAAATACAAAACATGCTATGAAACAACAACAAATTTTATCCAAGTGATCTTTGCATTTGCCTTCCTTTGCATTTGTCTTCCTTTGAAATTTCTTTCGTTGTTGTCCTACAACTTTGATAATAATTCACTTCTTCCAAAAATTATGCTCTGATACTAGAATTGTTATGCCCCAAGATCTAATTGGAATAATTATACCTTTTTCATTTTCTTAATTAAATCCAAAGCTACTAGTTTCAATTGAAAAAAAAAAAAAACCCACAAAAAATTATATTTATTTTCAAACATTTATATACAACACTGATTAAATCTAATATATAATAACCAGAAGCTCAACCTAATACAACAATCTATCCATATTACTTCTGATTACAAAAGAATCACTAAAAAACAAAACAACAGTAACCTGAGAAATTCTAAAGATGATCAATCTCATACTCTTCAGCCAAAACATCTTCCTTGACCTTGAATCAATTAACCACATATAATAAGCTCAAAAAGCCCAACAAGTCACTACAACCCACAACCAAACGCAACGCACAAAAACAAAACATATGCATGTGATCATTTAGTTCTTAGCAGTTAGCAATATTCATTCATATCATCATGCATTGGTGTAGAAGCAGAAAAACATGCTAAAAACTAAAAAGTTTAGTAATCAATCTTCATATAATCAATATGGTATGTATTTTGCGTCCGTAAAGTGGTGCAAATCAAAATCAATTATTCATAAACCAAAGCTAGTTTAGTACTAACCAAATCAATTAGTAAAACCAATGCATCCATACAAAATATCTGAAATTTAAATCATACAGATATGTGAAGTTTAAGCTTCAATCATACTGAAATATTATCATATATTATATAGGCTTGCACATTTTATATTCTGAATCATTTAGTAACAAAAAATTGTATTCATAATCATATCAATATCATGCTCACATGCTGAAAAAGCATAATAGGAATAATATATATGCTTATGTTAAATCATACTAAATAAGGAATTCTAGCTTGTGTATTGGTTTTACATAAAAGGATATCTATATCATGTTCATTAATCATTATCTTAATCTTAATTTAACAGTCAGGAAGCTCAGTAATTAGAATTGTCACTCTTATCGCATTGGCATGTAAACTTCTTATAACTCCCTCTTAAATCTTAATACCGAGAATCTTAAATGATATCACCACAAACCTCTTATTTAAAGAAAGTTCATTATCTCACCCTCCTGAATAAGTAAAATTTTCTCTAGTCAGGAATATTTTAATAACTAGCCTTTTCTTGTTACACACATTATCAGCATAAATAAATAACAAAAATTAGCATTATACATTAACGTGCATGTAATCATTCACAATGCTTATCTTAGCAAAAATGTTGTTTCAAAATACCAAAATTCAAATTCTTACTCAAATCGTATAAAATGAAATAAATAACATTTTAACCGGTGAAAATACGAAATCATCCATCCAAAATGATCAAAACAATAAATACTACAATATAACAAAAGTTATGCAGTGAAGGTTAACCAAAACAAAAGAAAATATAATAAATATTGATTTAGACAGAAGAATAAATCCCGCAATCAAATTTTTTGAAAATAGAGAGGATAGAAGTCACCTACAATGATCAAAATAATTTTTTTTACAAAAGCGTCGAACAGAAGAATCTCGAAACCCTTTTCTTTCATTTCTCTCTCCTCCCCTTCTTCTTCCCTTCATTTCCTGGTAGGCCAAACAAGAGAGAGAAGGAAATGGCTAAGTGGAGAGAAATTTATATTAAAAAATATTTTTCGACGTCTAGAGCCACAGTGATGCATGCACATCCCAATTGCTATAGGACAGAGACCATCAGCGTCGCCGTGTCGAATTTCAGCACCCCAGCACTAATCCCCACATAGCCGCTACACTTGAAATCGCAGCGCCACAGTGCCACAGTTTAGAAACTTTAGATTTTTCAAATAAATCCATTTAAGAACTATGAGTTGTTACAAAAATTAATAAATATATTTTAAGTTTCTCACTTCGACAGGCATGCAAAACTATGCCAATGCACCTAAACGAGTATTAGTGCATCATGCAAATGCACTAAAAAGCAGGCCAACGCAATCAAAGTGCGCAAATGCACTATGCAAGTGCATTGAAAAATGTGCAAATGCATTATGCTAATACACTAAAAGTCACGCACATCATTTACAATGAAACTTAAATTACTAGCATATGCTCAGGCGGATATTTCAACATCTTAAATCCCTTGTCAAAGAATGTTGCAATGATCAATCTATAAAAATGAACTTAAAATTGTAAGTCAGATCCTCCTTAAAAGGATCGGAGTTGACGAGGCTTAAATCAAATGAATAAACATGCACTCACTGAGCTCACAAAAATATTTAATTTTTAAGTTCACATTAGGTCTACAAAGTTTTTTACAAATGCAATTCACTATATAATGTAAGCTCTTGAAACCGATGCTCATGCAATAACTCGTAAAGACAATATCAAACCCAACCCTCTATTGACAAACAAACAAAGTTAATAAGATACAAATAACAAAATGCTTCCCGGGTTAGATATAGATCCAAATCTCAAGTACAATTCTCCATCTCAAAAAACTATAATCGTCAAAACTTGAGTTAACAAGTGAATACAGCGCCATGGAATTTTCAGAAATATTTTATTTATATGTTCACATTTCAAAGCCTTCTTTTAAGAAAATTTATTACAAACAAATATGAATTCTCGAATTTAAGGCCCGCATAACAATTCTCAAGAGTAGATGCACAAGCTTGATCCTCTACTGATAAATAGATAGAGTTAGCAAGGTCAATCTCCGTTGATGGATGTTTAATGTAAATATAAACAGGAGGAGATTATTTAATTTACAAAAATGTCCCTAAATCCTAAAATTACCCATTTATGTCCTCATTTAAAATAAAAGTTAGAAATTCAATTTCCATCAGAACTTATAGATTTAAAATAAAATTAGATCACTTATAAACTTAAAGCAAAAATCTATCCACCTCTGCAACTGTTTGACGAGGGAAATAAATTCAAGTATAATTTTAGCTTACAAAGAGTGAATATCCAGTCAATAATATCACTAAGATTCATTCTCAAATATTCTCTAATTGATGGTTTGGCCCAACGGCTCCACCTGATAACATGCCATGACATGATTCTCTAATCGGCGGTGTGGCCTAATGGCTCCAAAAAAATAGTGATTTGGCCCAATGGCTTCACATGGTAAATGATTATGATTGATGTCCTCTAATAAAATGGTTTCGCCCAACAGATCCACTATAGTACAATCATAGCTATAGCCCGTATGCTTTCCAGCATATACTTAATAGAGCACAAAGCCCAAGTCTACAAGGTATCATTGGATAAAACAACCCATAGCAGCTAATAAAAATATTTTGATCAGGCTGGGTCAATTACCTCCTCTTAATAAGTAGACTAAGAACCACAACGGCCCGGGGACAATAGAACCATGGAATCTTGTTGGGTTCATCATTATTCCCTAACTAAATGCTTTAAGTTATTTTCTAACCATGTCTTTTTAGGTCTACCCCTACCTTTCTTAACATAAGTCAAATCTAATACCTCTACTCTCCTAACCGGGTCATCGGAAGGCCGCCGTTTTATGTGACCAAACCATATTATTGACTCCTTTCTTTTCAAAATGAATAATGTCTTATCAAAAATACAATCTATCGTGGTTGAAACTTTGTTACTATACGATGGGTACTTAGTGTCTATTTAAGGACTAACCTTAATTGAAAGTTCTCTCTAATTGCCACGAGGGGTAATTAACCATAGGGGCTTGCACCTATGAAAACTAAACTTTAGATCATTAAATCCTTGCAAAATGAATAATGTCTTATCAAAAATACAATCTATCATCTAAAAATGTATCTGGAACCTAATCTCATTAAAACTCTCCTCGTCAAAATTTTTAAATCTCACAATTCACCATCGTGTTAAAAGGTATGGGTACTCTCAAAGGCAACACCTTGTTTTCATTTAAAGGTAAAATTTTTAGATTGATCGTATATATTAATGACATATCTTAAACAAGAAATCATGAAGAAGAAATAAACAAGCTAAAAACTATCGTGGTTGAAACTTTTAAAATCAAAGACATTATTTTATTAATTGAAATATTTCCTGGCATGGACAAAGCAAAGATCAAGCAAAGGGATATATATCTTACAACAGGAATACTCCTTGGCCTTACTAAGAGATTATTTGGTTTGCTAAAAAAGAGATTATTTGGTTTGCTAAAAAAGGATGCAGAGTATTCTAAATGCTGAGGTTTTAAAGATTTGGATTTGGTTTCATGAAAAATGTAAAGATTTGGTGAATTCCATATTCATTATCTAGTTTAATTTTGATGTATTCAAAACTCTACCATTTTTTGCCGAATTCTAAATACATTGCAAGCTAACTTTGTTGGCCGCCAACCCCCACCACCAACCAACGCTGCCCTCCACTTCCACTCACTACCTCCACCATTATTGAGCTCTATACTACATTTATTTTACTTCAAATCAAACAAACTAAAAATTATCACATGCATTTATTTTATACTCATCCAAACATTTCAAATGCATTGTATTTCATTTTATTCTACATCCTTTTTCAACAAACCAAATAACACCTAAATTAAACTAGTATGGTTGGGTGTAAACTAATACAGCAATGGATAAAGTTGATATTAAAGATATTCTACCTCAATTAACAAAAGAAGGTACGAACAATTCATAGGAAAATTCATCTACCTATCTCGTACTAGACTTTATATTTTTTTCATGTTAATGCAGTTATTCAATTTATCAATAAACCCACAAATGAACATTTTGATGCCATACACAAAACACTAAGGCATCTCAAAAATTACCTTAAAGGCTGTTCTTCAAGAAGAGAACTACCATGAGCATTAAAATCTTCAAATCTTCACTGATACTGAGTGGGTTAGATCTGTAATTAATCATAGATGTAAATCCTATCATTGCTCACTTATATGAGATAATTTAAAATAAAAGATGGAAGCTCGAAACAGTGTTGATGCAGGATTCAGAGATATGACTCATGGAATTCATGAAGATATGGAGTTTAATTATCTACTCAAATACCTAAAGCTTCTACTTCAGAGCCTATAATAATGAGGTGTGACAAGCTATTAGCATTTCTAAGAATCTTGTCCATCATGATCGAACAAAGAATGTTGAAATAATGGAAACTTTATTAAAGAGAAAATTGATCAAAAAAACGCTCATATCAATTACAGTCCAATAAAGCTCCAAAATGTTGATGTGCTTGCTAAAGCATGTGAACAATCACAACTTGACATCCTTACATTCAAGCTAGGAATGATCAACACATATTTCCAACTTAAAGGGCAGCGTGGAAATCGAACCTTGAAATATGTTGTAAGATCTATTGCAAACCTTCCCACATGCATTCCTGTAGTCCAACCCCAACCATCTTCCTACCGCAATACTGCCCACCAGCTAGTTCTTGCATTGAATGGTCCCTCCATGCCTGGCATCTTTCCCCATCACTCAACCTAGCTGCAGTTTAGCTAGCTCTTTATCCGCCAACACTTTTACCTCCTTCGATGATGCCCTGTAACTGTTATCCTCCAACCCCATTGCCTAATAAAGAATGACTTTAGTGTCTGCTTTAATGATGTGCTTTATTACCAATTGATTAGATAACATTTATTTCTATTTTCTTTTCCAGCATATAGTAGGTTATGGCCTTAATGGTGTACCTAGCTTTCTTTCTAATCTCTGGCTTGTATCTCCTATAAATTAGGTAGCTCTCCTACTTTGTGATGCAAATACAATATTTTTCTCTCATATTTTTCAATGGATCATCACGCCACAACCCTATGGGATCTTATCTCCGTTTCCATAAAAGGATAATAGTCTATCCATATATATACAAAAACACAAGAAAAGGGAAAATCTAAGACGAAACTCCCGCTAAAGTAGGGTCTAGAGAAGAGTTGTACTAACATTGCATTTGCAAAGAGGCTATTTCCATGACACAAACATGACAACTCAAGAATATGCTAGAGATAACTTGATCATTGTTCATGCCGTCTAAAATTTGTGTGCATGCATGTGCAAGTGTGTATTATATATATATATATATATATATGTGTGTGTGTATGTACAATAACAACAACATCAAATATTTATCCCACTATATGGAGTAACGCATGTTATTGCAGTTTTTTTAATAAAAATAGAAATTAAGAATATAAAGATATGGATATAAAACTTGTAATTCATCCTAAGATAAAGAGACGAGCATTGTCAATAAATAATCAACTCCATGAGATTTATCAAATGATCACTTAGCGCTATATGAGCATTTCAAATGCAAGAGAAACTATGAAATAGAACTATGTTCAACTAGGAACAGCATAAAGATAGTCTTCATTAGATATTAACCAACGACATGGTAAAAATAAATGAGTTATCCTTAAGATTTTATGATTCAAAATCACAAACTTTTGTCTAAAGAATGAGTAAATAGAACTAGGTATTGAATTTTCCGAGCCAAAGCAGCTTATAAATAAAATGGGAAAAACAAAGTTAATAGTAGAAGTGCAAAAAATTTTATGCAAAATAGCGTCAACATCTAGAAATCAATGGAGAAGTAGTATTCCTGTAGCCAACTCCAAGAGTTATCAGTAATTAGGTTAACACTAATTATGATGATTATGATGATGAAAGCCTAACATGGATAAGCGGAATCAATTCTACCTTGCACAGATAATGCATTAGTGTCATTTTGTTGTTAGTTGCCCGAGTATCTACAAGCTTTAAAAGACTGTCCAAACGGAAGCCAATAGCTGAACCTGTAAAACGAAATCCATAACAAAAAAAAAGCACTCCACATTGGACACAAAAACAGAACATTGAAGGAAAAAATAAATATAATAGTACAATGGAAATTCTACAAATCTATCTATATTCAGAGTATACTTGAAAATTGAAAAACACTAAGGCCTAAACATTTCTACAGAAGAATTAGTTATGATTTTCTTCAGATCAGTTGATATATGATCCACAATAGAAATATTTTACTATACAATTCAGAGACAACTACAAAATGAAGCCAAATTATTTTTCCAGAGAGAAAGTAGCAAATTCATCATACCCAAATTGTTATTATGCCTCCGACTAGTTAATAAAAAGAGAACCAAAATTTATCCCATCATCAAAGAGAACACCAAAACAAGGTAGTGAATTTTAAGTTGCACATCATTAAGTATAAATCATATCTATGCCCTGCATACAAAGAGACTTCACCCTCTCGCTGCCATTTTAAGCAATGAATGGCAATATTAGAGTTATGTTACGGCCTTGATGAGTTTACCGTAAGTTAGTTGTTAATGAAGAATATACATATATAATATTAAGTGAGAGAAAAATGTTTTGAGACTTAATCGAATTATATATACAATAAGAGAAGGAAAACTGATCTTGATAAAAGATGAAGATGACAAAGACAAATGAAAATTGAAGTTTCGAGAAATTACATAAATTATAAGAAAAAATGAAAATTTTATTTGGAGGAGTTATTAAATTTTTAAGGAAGGATATTTACTAGAATTGCAAAATGAAAAGAACTATGAAATATACCTTGATACCAACAAGTGATGTTAAATTAACATAAAAGAAGGTGAATAAGAATAATGATATAGATTTTTGATAAGAAATAAAGAACTATGAGAAATATTAATCTAGTTCGGTTAATCTTTTTAATGAAATCATAAATAATTAGAGGACAGCTATTTCGCAACCATCTTTAGAAACAAATAGAAAGTTTAAGAAGTGGGACAGTGGGTATTATGAATCAACTGTTCAAGTAAAAACAATGAAGTTTTGGGAAACGATTATCGGATTATGGAACATAAGATTCTAAAAAGCATATTTGGTATCAAAGAATCAAATTTGTATTATGCTCGAAATATTAATTATGAAGGCGACTTTTGTGCTTAGACCAAATTTAAAAGAGAATACATCAATTTTATGTAATGATTGATCTAGATTGTTGGTTAATATAATATTCAAGATCAAGCATTAAAACTTCTACTCCCAAAACAAAACTTACTTCCCATCCTCCTATCATTTTCCTTTTTTTTTAACTGCCAAATATAAATAATCTTTAGGGTATGGGAGGATTTTGGTCGCCCAGATAACCTAAGTTGCTAAAAAAATTTTAACAAAAAAAATGGATCAAACTGAAAAATGAAATTTAAGCAATAATTTTAATGATAGGAGTACTTAAGATCAACCATTTTAGATCAAATTTATAGAGTTGAGAGATTAAATTGGAAACAAGATTTAGGTAGAAACAAAGGAACATTTTAATTGATGGTAGGAAGAAGAAAACAAACAAGATACAATGGATCTTCGATTTGAGAGGAAGATCCGGCTCTCCCAAACCCTAGCCGCCCGCCCACTAGAGTCCCTCATTCTCCTTAGGAAAATAAAACTCAGCAAAACATTTGATAAAATCAAACCCTAGGAAACAATACTAATTAAAATATACAATAACCGACCCCCCCCCCCCCAAAAAAAAAAAAAAAAAAAAAAAAACAACAAAATCTCAAACCGCCCACTAGTGTCCCCAATAACTTAGAACTACCTATATGATCCCCAATAGCTTTCCTCATTTGTGATACGTGGAACACTGGGTGTATGGTAGCGATCGGGGGTAACCTAAATCGATAAGTCATGCTCTAATTCTCTCTACTATCTCATAAGGGTCAAAGCATCTTGGGGCTAGCTTTCATTCCTCCTATGAGCTATCATCCTTTGTCTGTAGGAGAGTAGCTTCAAATATACCCTATCTCTTATCTCAAATTGGATGTCATTCCTATGCTCATTTGTCTGCATCATAATCTGTTGAGCCTCAACAAGTGCCTTTTCAACTCATCTAACACCCTATCCCTCTCCTCCAAGCAATGTTTAAAATTGTGTATTCGGGTATTGAGGCGTTTTTCATTCGTAAGGCGAGGCGTAAGCCTCAAAATCAAAAGATTGTGTAAACATAAAATGATAAATTTTTTATATACTAATGAGTGAATAATATAAAAACATAAAAAAGCATAAGATATGAAGTGCAATCAAAATATCCCAATAATAAGACAACATGAAATATAGTTCAACTCAAATTTCTATATTTCCCAAATTCCAGTATTCTTTTCATTAACATATAATTCCAATTTCTAAAAATAAATAGCAATGACATATCACATAAGAACTCACAAGTCATCAGCACTGTCATCACCAAGGGGTTCTTCATTTGAATCATCATTATGATGAACTGCTCTCTCCCCTTCTCTCCTATAGAGTCCAATGGCGAGCATTTACTTCAAGATTTATGTTAGTTTTAATATATATAGTGCGAGGCATAAGCCTCATGACAGCGAGGCGAGGCGGGCCTTAAGCCGGGCCTCAACCAAGTTGAGGTGCAAGCCTCATAACAAAAACTCGAGGTGTAAGCATCGAGGCGTTTTTCACTGGAATTGCGCAAAGGCGAGCCTCATATTGAGCAATTTTAAACCATGCCTCCAAGTACTGCTCTACTGAGAAAATTGGCATGCTACTCTTCCCAAAGTGTACCAAGTGAGGTAGTTCTCTTCCGTACAATACTTTGAAAGGGGTCATTTGGGAAGCTGAATGAAACGAAGTGTTGTACCAGTATTATGCCAATGTCAACCACTTGGCCCACAACCTAAGTGTCGCGAACACAAAACATCGCAGGTAGCTCCCATTCACCACTTATGTCTGCCTGTCTATCTGTTTGATAGGTGATGCTCCTCTTCATCACTGTCCCCAGCAACCTAAACAACTCCCTCCATAAATGACTAAGGCACCTTATCTCTGTCGGATACTACATACTACAATATCCCATGCAGTCTAACCACCTCTCTAATGAATGTCGCCACTACTGTCACTATCGTGTAAGGGTGTCGTAGATGGGTGAAATGAGCATACTTGCAAAATTTGTCAACCACCACAAAAATCACTGTAAACCCCTCAGATCGAGGTAAACCCTCCATGGTGACCTCCTCCTACACCCTGTCTGGTAGAGCTAGGAGTTGAAGTAACCCCCCGGAGCCATGGCCATATAATTGTTCCGCTGACATACCTCACATATAGCCACCATTTCTTCCACATCCTTGTGTATCCCCTTCCAATGCAGCTCTATTGTCAATCTCCTATATGTCTTCTGCACACCAGAATGACCCCCAACCGCGCTCCCATGAAACTCCTGTAGCAGCTGTGGATATGGATGGAGGTTCAAGGCATCACAAACCTCCCCTGGTACAATAGTCTCTCCCCCTCTAGAGAATAGCCAGACTTTCCATTCTCATCCCCAAATAATTATTCTCATCCCTACATAGATCTGCTCTAATTCTTCCCAACTTCCCATCCTACACACTCTCCTCTTTAATAGCCCACCAATCCAGCACCAATGGTATCGACATAGCTAACTCCTAAAGCTCCCCTTGCATCAGGACAAGACATCAGCCGTCTTGTTCTCCAATCCTAGCCTATAATGGATCTCAAAGTCATAGCCTAACAATTTTGACAACCATCTCTGATGCTCCTCGATCACCATCCTCTGCTCCAGGAGGCACTTCAAGCTCCTCTGGTCCGTCCTGACAATGAAATGTCAGCCCAACAAGATCGTCACTTTTATATAGCTAACACAATGTCCATCAGCTCTCTCTTATAGACTAACTTCAACCTAGCTCTAGCTATCAACACGTGTCTTAAGTAAGCTACGAGCATGTGATTCTGCATGAGCACTGCCCCCAACCCATACCCTAATGCATCGGTCTCTACTATGAAAATCCAATTAAAATCCAGTACGGCCAATACCGGTACTACGATCATGGCCTTCTTAAATCTCTCAAAGGCCTGTGCAGCCGCCTCTCCCCACAAGAAGCTATCCTTCTTCAACTGCTCTGTCTCTGTCAATGACCAAGCTATGGTGTTGTATCTCATCACAAATCTCCTGTAGTACCCAGCCAACCCTACAAAGCCCCTTAGCTCTCTCAGATTCCTAGGTAGAGGTCATTTATGTATTGTCTCAATCTTGTCCTGATACGTGGCCACCCCCTCCTAAGATACCACATGCCCGAAGTATTTTACACTGACCTATGCAAAGTAACACTTCTTTAGGTTGGCCCTCTACTGATGCTCCTATAATATTTACAAGACCACCCACAAGTGCTCCAAATGCTCCCCCACCTAGGGGTGTAAGTGAGCCGAGTCGGCTTATCAAGCTCGACTCGCTTATGGGCTCTCGAGCCGAGCTTATAAAGCTCACGAGTCGAGTTCGAGCTTAATAAGGCTCGGCTCGCGAGCCGGCTCAAGTTCGGCTCGAGTTCCACAAGTAATTTAAAAAATAATAATAATATTTCTAAAAATCTACCATAATTTCTCAAAATTCTGCTTGATTTTGAGGACCGAGCGTTTTACAGACCGGTCGTCCGCCTCCCGCTTAAAATCCTGCTCGTTCGTGTTAGACGTTGGTAGACAAAGGAGCTTCGTCGACCAGACACACTGGGCTCGAGGGAGTTAGCAGCCTGCGAGAGGCTGATGACTCGCACGAGGCGTGCTGCGTGGGACAAGCGCGGAAGATGACCGCACGTCTCCGTGTGGGACGGTTGTGGACGAGCGAGAGCAGCTGACGAGATGTCGGAAGCTCGCGAGCCAACTCGAGCTCATTTACAGTGGGACGAGCCGAGTTCAAGCTCGCTTTTTGAGCTCGAGCTCGAGTTCGAACCCATCTTCCGGCTACCGAGTCGAGCTCGATAAGGTTAAAACTCAACTC